ACAGAAGGGGCTTTGTGCCCCCGAGGCAGCCGGCACAACGGGGCCCCTTGTAGCCGCCCAGCCCCGGCCCCTCGGGGACGGCCCCGTCCCCACCGTGCCACCGCGGGCTGCGGGGACGCGCGGAGCTGGGGTTTCTCCCTGGGAAATTTGTTTTCCCTGCTGGTCTTGCCAGATTGAGGATGCTGGCTGGGGGTTGGAGTTGGAGCTGTGGGGTCAGAGAGGGGTCTTTTGGGTGATGCCCGAGGAAGGCGATAGGGCCTGGGGGGTCCTGAGTTCCCCCATCACAGCAGTGATCACCTTGCTCTGTTCAATAAAAGCAGGAAAGCTCTAAAAAGCTCTAAAAAGCTCTAAAAGCAGAACCCCCAAGAAGATGCCTGGTGCTGATGTCAGTAGGTTTCAGAGTGAACAGCCTCCACGTGCCCGTGTGCCAGCCCGCGCGCCCACCCCCAGTGCCCCCTGCAAGCTCTGAGCCTGGCAGAGGGCACGGGGGGGTGCAGGAGGCACGGGGAGGGGGGGACGTGCAGGAAAACGGCCCAAAAACGGGGTGAGGAAGCGATGCCCCGTGTGGGAAATCCCTCTGTAAGTGGGGGAGGAAATGGGGCAGGAGAGGAAGAGGCAGCAGGAGAAGAAGAATTAAAGGAAGAGAGGAGGGTCGGCGGATCAGGGCTCAGCAAACGTGGGGAGAAGTTGTGGTCAGGGGGGGGAAAGGCTGCCGGGAAATGCCAGGGATGGATGGAAAGGCTGGGACCAGCTGCTGGGGGACCAACGCTGGGATTAGCGGTGCTGCCAGTCCCCCAGGATGAGCGCTGGGATTAACCAGGGTGGAAAACCCCGAGGCCACGGGCCGGGATTATCGATGGTGAAAAATCCCCGAGCACAAGCGCTGGGATTAACCGTGGCGCAGGCTCCCAAGGACAAGAGCTGGGATTATCTGCGAGGCGAAATCCCCCAGGGCGTGTGCTGGGATTAGTCGTGGTGCAAAGTCCCCAGGATGAGCTCTGGGATTAACCATGGTGCAAACCCACAAGGATTGAGCCCGACAGATACCCCGAACCCACCAGCACCAGTGTGGGGACAACGGGGACGTCCCCCCGCTTGGGGCTGGGGCCGTGGCATCGTGCCGCTGTGCCCCTGGGAAATTTAAGAAAACTCCCTCGGGGCTGCGAGCGCAGGAAGTGGTTTTGGGGCTGGCATAACCCAAGCGCCCGCGCTGCTGCAAATCTCGGTGGCCCGTCCGTCTGCCTGTCCGTCCGTCTGTCCGTCGTCAGCCCTACGGGGACCCCAGTGGGGCCGAGCTGTGCCACCTGAGGTCTTTGTCCCTGCGTAAGGGGACACGCTGAGCTCCAGGGTTTCCCAGAAGGGCCAAATCTCAGCGGTGCCCACCTTGTGGCACAGCCCCCTGAGGTTTCGCTGCCTTCACCGCTGTCATCGCCGTGCCACCGCCGTCAGTCCCCTGCCACTGCCGTCAGCCCCCTGCCACCACTGCCTTGCACGCTGGGCTCTGGGTTCTGGCCAAATCCTCATGGGAAGCACAGCCGACGATAAGGGCAGTGCTGGCTCCAGCTCCCCCTGCCCACTTTTTGCCAAAAAGCCCCGCAATCCACGGCAGCACCGGGTGGCGGTGGCCACGTTTTGGGGACCCCACAGAAATCAGCCGAGCGGAGGCTGCCGGGGCACGGGGTGGCTGACGTGTGCCAGCACCCCGCTGCCGGTCGATAGCGGGTGCTGCGATTTCACTCTCGTTCTTGGAAAGCTCGAGCTGCCTTCCTCTTTCCCCGGGGCAGCCAGAGCTCACCCGCTGCTCGCAGCAGCCCCCGCGCCCCCGCGGGCGGCTTTCCGCTGGTGGGGACGGCCAGGTTGCTGCAGGCACGGGTGCACGGATGGAGAAGAAAGTCAGAGGAGAAGGAGCTGCGGGGATTGGCGAGGCGGAAGCGCAGCAGCTCCGCTCGGCGCCTGCAACGCCGGGGCGCAGCTGTGACCTTGGCCTGACCTTCAGCCGGCGCTGCTGGCACCGCCGCCGCCCCGCGCCGGCACCGCTTTCTCCCGGCCAGGTGCGCGGTGGCCTCGGGTGCCGCCCGTGGGAACCCTCCCTGTGTCCCCCCCGGGCTGGAGCAGGGTGGAAACTCGGGGCTGGTTTTCTAAGAAATCCTCCAAAAAGGTCCCCGGTGCGGGGCCGTGGGGCGCAGCGCAGCCCCGGGGGCTCCGTGGGATGCTGGGAGCGGGGTTGCGCCCTCGGCGTCTTCCCCTTCACCGCGTTCCCCGGCCCAGCTGGATTCACTCAGCGTTTTTTAAACACTAGAAAATGATCAGCAGCGAGAGCAAACAGCAAAAATAAAACCGGGCAGGGCTCGGCAGACCACAGGTGGAAGGAAGCCGCTCTCCAGCACTAATTTTAATCAGGCGCTGAGCGCTGGCGCCGCTCCCTGTCCCCAGCCTGCAGGATGGGTGTCCCCATTGCCACCCCCTGGTCCCCAGCAGCGTGGCTCCCTATGGCCAGACACTGCTGGCAGTGGGGCTGGGAGCAGCAGGAGCAGTGGGATTGCTGAGGGGCGTCCCCCAAAAATCCTTGCTGCAGGCAGCGCAGGTGCCATGCCCACCTGGCTGCCCAAGGGCACGGTGACAATGTTTGGGGGAAAAAAATCCCATTTGTGGTACTATTTGCTCCTCCCGGGAGCCAGCCCTTTCAGGGAGAGGGGGATTTGGGGAGCCAGGCCGGATTCTGCCCTACAAACTGGAGGTGGCAGCCCAGGATGGGTGGTTTGGGGTGCGGGGACCAGGGGACACCGCAGTGGTGGCACAGCGGGGACCGTGCGCTTCGCGGGCACTGTGGCCCTCTGTGATTTCAGGGGGTGCTTAGCCAGGTGCTGGGGTTCCCCCCACATCCACGGGAAGCTTTGGGGTGAATTCACCCTCCGTCCTGTCCCATCCACTGCCGTCGTCCTGTCCCGTGCCATCCCGAGCTCCCCGAGCACCCAGGGGGATGCTGTGGCACCTCTCTGCCGAGAAGGAGCCCGTGGGCGCCAGGCGGGCACGCGGAGTGTTGAGTGTGCAGTTTTGCTTACCGAGAAAAGGATTTCTCGGTAGGGCCGCCATCGAGCAGGGCATCTTGCGGTCAGGTGCGCCGTTTCGGGGGGCGGGGGCACCGTGCCTGCGGTAGGCACTTCTCCGAAGCCAGACTGCCTTTCGGGCACCGTATCTCACTGCTGCATCATTTCCTTCTCCCTTGTGCGCGCTCCCCGGCTGCGCTCACCCCGGGGAGGGATGGAGCCGAGCCCAGGGCTTCGCCGAACTCCCTTTTCCTGGAATTCCCCCTCTGCTGCTCCCAAGAAAGCAGGAGCAGCGCGGTGCTGGTGCTGCCGGCCGGGCCCTGCGTGCCGATAACGCCCACGCCACGCTGGCACCGCACGGCGAGCTCGGGGACGTGCCGGCCATCACGGCCCCGGCACCCACAGCCTGGGGAAGGGGACACGGTGGGCACCGCATGCCCTCAGCACCCCCCATCTGTGCGGGACACTGCTCAGGACCCTCCGAGGGACCCTCAGGACGCGGCGTGGCACTGCCCCAGCCCGCAGCAGCGACACTGATTGCGGGCGGGCGCGTGCAGCTGCGGCAGCCCCGGCTCCTCGCAGGGCGCTGCGCCGCGGCGGGCGACTTCTAAGAACTTTCTTTCGGCGGAGCTTGGCGCTGATAAGGGTTGGCCCTTCTCGCGCTGCGTTTCCGGCCCCAAAGTACACCGAGTCCTTGGTCGAGAGTGAGACTGAGAGAGGGAGGAAGTGGGGGGCAAAAAAAAAAAAAGCACTGCCAAACCCAGCCGCCGGCAAGATTTCCAGTGCCGGCAGGCGCCGCGCTCGCTGCAGCCCCGCTCGGGGGAATGGCCTTGCAGCAGCGCTGCAATGGGAGCAGGGCGAGCTCAGAGCAAAGGCCCGGACCCTTCGGACCCTTCCCCTGTGCAGCAGCATCGTGCATGGCCCCGGCTGCCACCCGCAGCCCGGCGTCATGCTCAGGGATGGGTCCTGTGTCAGTGGCCATGTGTGGGGTCATTTGGAATCAGCCCGGAGCTGGGAACCGGAGGGGACGGCGGTGCCTGGCACGGGAGAGCGAAGACTCAGCCCGTGGGATGCTGAAGCTGTCGCATGAATCACGGCCAGCCAAAATTTTTGTAACGCTGAGCTGGCAGCGAGCCCAGCCCAGGGGAACCAGAGCGCTGAGCTGCGCACCCTGGGCTGGCTGCACCCACGGGGGCTGGCACGAGGGGGACCCGGTGCTGTTCCCAGTGCCAGCCCCGCACACCGAGGGCTTCTCTCCGTCCCCGTCACAGGGGTCCCTCCCCACTTGTGGGGGTCCCCGACTGTGGGGGTCCCCGGTGCCGCAGCACGGAGACGGTCAGCAGCTCGCTCCTGGCGGCGGAGGAACCGAAAGCTGCCGGGAGGGGTATTATTAGAGTTTATGGAAGTGCCTGCTCAGCGTTTTGTCATGTGCCTGTGTCAGAGCGAAACTGGCCGGGCAGCAGCAGGGAGCTCTCGGCACGCCACCCCGGGGGGTGCGGGGCTGCCCGGGGGCATCGCGCCCTCCGGCCGGCCCCACACCACAGCAGGGAGCACCAAAGACCCCCCCGCACCCATCCTCCTCGCCACCCAGGCCATATTTTCCTCGTTGGTGCACACAATTTCTCCAGCACGTGCTGGGAAACTCCTTCTCCATCCCTTCCTCTGCTTCAGGGCACCGCTGGGCTGGGGCCCTGCTCTGGGTGCTGCTCGGCCCCCCATGGGTGCCCTGCTCCGGCACGGCTCGCCCCAGCCTCGAAGCAGCAGCCGTGCTGGGTATTTCCTTGCCAGGTGGGGTATTTCCTCGCCCGTAGGGTGTTTCCCTGCAGAGAGGGGTATTTCCTAGCTGCTGCCATGACTCAGGGGACTCCCAGCAGGCTGGATCCCGTTCCCTGGAGCAGCATTTCAGGGCACGGGGGGGCCGCGGGCACGGCTCAGCCTCTTTCCTCTCCGCAGGGCTCCAAGCCGAAGCTGCACACCGCCTGCTCCGCCGTCCAGGAGGTGCGGAGGTGCACGCGCCTCGAGATGCCCGACAACCTCCACACCTTCGTCCTCAAGGTACGGCCCCCATCGAGGGGCCCCGCAGCTGGCCCCGACGCCTTCCCCACCCCTTCGGGGCGCACGTGCTGCTGGAAGCTCCCGTGCCAAATTTCGGTTCCTCCTCCGTGCCGGGGATGGCAGGGATGCAGCCCGCGGGGTGGGGATGCTCTGCTCTGTCCGGTCCCCAAGCGTGGGTTGTGTGTGTGGGGGGGGAATAGGGCTGCAGATCCCTCTCTAATGTCCCCGTGTCCCTCTCTGGTGTCCCCCAGGTGACCAACGCCACCGATGTGCTGTTCGAGGCGGGGGACGAGCAGCAGCTCAGCTCCTGGACGGCCGAGATCCGGGAATGTGCGCACAGGGGGTAGGCACCCGGCGGGGGTCCCCGAGCCCTACTGACCCCGGGGATGGGGACAGCTGCTCCGTGTCCCCGAGCACCGTGCCAACCACCCGTCCCCAGCGCTCAGCCTGGCTTCTCCCATCCCTGACAGGTCGGACACGGGCGACCCCGAGCTCCTGGCGGGCCGGCACCCTGACCCCGCAGCCACCAGCCCCACCACCAGCACCGACTCCCCCAACCAAGGTGAGGCCTGGGGGATGCCTGGGGACACCGGGGAGGGGTCCCGTGCCTCGTTGGGGCTGGCTAAGGTTAATCTTAGCCCCAAATTTCTTGGCGAGGATGCAGCCACAGGGGAAGGGATGAGGGTGACGGAGCGGGGCCGGGCAGGGGTCCCCAGTTCCCGGGGTGCTCACCCCCCACCGGCCTCCCTGTCCGGGCAGGGGCGACGCCGGGGGGGTCGTCGGAGGCGGCGGGGCCGAAGATGGAGCAGTTCCTGTCCTCCTGCCCCTGGTTCCACGGGCCCATCTCCCGCATGAAAGCGGCTCAGCTGGTGCAGCTGGGGGGGCTGGAGGGCCACGGCGTCTTCCTGGTGCGGCAGAGCGAGACGCGGCGCGGCGAGTACGTGCTCACCTTCAACTTCCAGGGCAGAGCAAAGGTACAGGTGGGAGAGGGGCTGGGATGGGGAGGGAAAAAAAAAAAAATCACACCGGAGCCCCCTCGGGAGCTGCACACACGTGGGTGGCCGCGAGTCCTGTCCCATCCCACCCCAGTGCTTGCTGGTGTCCCCATCCCCACTCCTGGGGGGAAAAAAAACATCAGCAGGCCGGGCACCGCGGGCTGGGGATGCAGCACAGGATGCTAAGGCCGTTTGTCCCCCCTCCCCTCCACCCCAAACATCCCTGTGTCCCCCATCATCTCCTCCAGCAAGGGAGCCGGTGGCAGGGTAACGGCTCCGTGCTCCTCCCCGCAGCACCTGCGGCTGTCGCTGACGGAGCGGGGCCAGTGCCGCGTCCAGCACCTGCGCTTCTCCTCCATCGTGGAGATGCTGCACCACTTCCACCGCTTCCCCATCCCGCTGGAGTGCGGGGCCACCTGCGACGTTCGGCTCTCCAGCTACGTCGTCGTCCTGCCCCAGCCACCAGGTAGGGGCACAACAGGGTCAAAGGTTGGGGCACGGGGATGGGGAGGTCCCCATGGGGTGCGGGGACTCGGGAGGGTCCCCAAGGTGATGGGCGCAGCTGGGATCTTTTGGGGGAAGCGGAAACATCCAGGCAGTGCCCCGAAAGGTGACTCCTGAGCTCCCGGCTTCCCTTTCTAAGAAAGAAGCTGCCCCAAATTGACGGCCACGGGACGCATCCCGGTGCGGGCTGCGGGGCGATGGGGCAGGAGCATCCCCCGAGCAGCCACCGCCTCTCCTTCCATCCACAGCTCCCAGCTCCGGCACCGCCGTCCCCGTCCCGCTGCCCGTCCCCGGCTGGAGCCCCGAATTCAGCCTGACCCCCGCCACCACCTCCACCACCACCACCTCCTCCTCCTCCTCCTCCTGCCCCCGCGGCCCCTCCGAGCCCCCTCCGGAGCAGATTTTCCACCTGGTGCCACCGCCGGCGGAGCTGGCGCAGAGCCTGCGGCACAGTGGGGTGACCGCCACCCCCGGCGCCCGGCCCCGCGAGTCGGACTACGAGGTGGAAGCCCCGGGCCGGGGCCACGTCCGTGCCATCGACAACCAGTACACGCCGCTCTGACGGGCCCCCGGGGGGGGACGCACTTTTTTTTGGGTGGAGAAGAAGACCTGGAGCCCCCTCTGGGAGTCCCAGCGAGAATGTAACTATTTTCTTCCTTCTGGTTAGGGATTGTTATTTTTTTTTTTTTTTTTTAATTTCGCAAGGAAGGGAGTCGTTTTTCACTCCAGTACGGGTGTGCTCCCTCTCTTCGGCCTGTTAAAGGGCCTTTTTTTTTTTTTTTTTTTTTTTTTTTTGGGTATTATTAGAGCTTTCTCGTTACTGTTTACACACACCTCTCCTGCCTGCATTCCCAGCTGCGTGGCCGGCACGGGGGGCACTGCACAGCCGGGCTCCGTCCCCTCCTCCCCTCGGCACCGCGGCGCCCGGAGAAGGAACCGGGGGGTCTCGCGTCGCACCCGCATCGTTGGAGCAAACAAAAAAGGAAAAAAAAAGGAAAAAGAGGATTATAAATTCTTTGACACGTTGCTGCTTCGGGCTGCGCACAGGCGACGAAGAGCCACTTCCTCCCGCCCCAGGATGTGCTGCCGCTGCACAAAGCTGCCAGCAAGCCCCGAGCTGCCGGAGCCGAGCTTCGGGTCGTGCAAAGCCGCTGGAGGAGTTTGTTCTTTAATTTTAGATAAGGCAAAAAACTGGCTTTTCTCGCTCCTTTTTTTTTTAAGAAAAAAAAAGAAAGAAAGAACCTAGCCCAGCTGCAGTCACTCCCTGCACCAGCCGGAGAACCACTCACCCCGTTAGCTTTGTTAATTAAGACGTGAACACTAACACCGCTCCACCATTAACAACGCCAACAGCCGAGGACTAACGCGGAGACTGACAGGGGAAAAAAAAAAAAAAAGAAATCCCAGAAATCCCCCCCCCCTTCCCAGTGAGGGAAACCTTTCCAGCACAACTCCCAGGGGAATTTCCCTACTTTTTCCTTCTTTACCTCGCCTCCCCCCCTGCTCTCAGCTCTCCCCCACGCCCCGGGGGTTGTGGCCACCTATGCAACGGGCCCCTCGCGGGCAGGGGGGGGGTCCAGGCTGAGCCCCCCCAGTCCCGCAGCAGGGGCCGCGCACCCCAAAGTGCCTTACAGGAGGAGGATGAGGCTGGTTTGGCGCTCCTACAGCTGCAGTGCCAAATCCAGCCGGCACTTTCCCCTCGCTGCCTTCGTGCATTTTTTTCCCCCCCCCCGGGGGGGTGCTCGCTGCCCCGGTGCCGTTTTTACCTGCTGGAGAGGAACCACTTCTTCGAACCCGATGCTATTTTCAGAATAAGGAAGGGGCCGGAGCCGTTGCGACACTCGGCGAGGGGATGTTGGCAGCGCTCAACTTCCAGATTTCTCAGCGCCCGGCACTCCCCGGGATTTCTAATGCGGAGCTGGCCTTGAGATCACGTTACAGGAAAGCCCTTTTTTTTTTTTTTCCTTTTTTTTTTGGGTTTGTTTCGGTCCCCCCCTCGCACACTTGAAGTCGCCTGAGAGGTGGGAGCCTCCGGGAGCATTAATTTGGAAGGAAACAACAAGAGAGCCTGGTGGGCACGAGGCGGGGAGGTGGTGCACAAAGCCGGCCCCGACGCCGCGATTTGGGGCTGAGCCAGCGCCTGCGGTGCCAGAGCCCAGGGGCCGGAGGCTGCCCAAGGCCAGGAGCCCGAGGGCGAGGGAATTGCTTTATTTTGCTGCCAGAGGGCAGGTGGAGCTGGGTGGGAGCCTGACCCTCGGCTCCAAAACATCCCACGGCCAAACGGCTCCAGGCAGGAGGGAAATCGGTCTGTGTAGGCGAGCGGTGTGCGCAGGGAAAGGGCTGGGAGACTGGAAACGGCAACCTGAGAGCATGTTTGGGATTTCGTGCCTCCCCTCTCCTCCATCTCTGCCCTCTCCTGTCTTCATTTCGTGCGCTCTGGGCACACGAAGCCTCTCCTGCTCCTGCCCCGGGGATGGCACCGAGCAGGAGCCGCGCTCCTGCGCCATTGCCGCCAGTCCCGAAAGCGGAGTGTTTCAGAGAAAAATCACCCCGGATGGTGTCGCCTCCGGGGCTGCCAAACCCGGAGAGGCTGCAGGGGAAACAAAGCAGCCCCTGTGCTCCGCTAGGGCTCCTCACCCGTATCCGCAGCTCTTTTTTTCCCTCCCCGAAGCCGCACAAAGGCTGCGGGCGTTTGCAGGGTCCCTCTGCACCAAAACGGGGCGTGGGGATGGGGCTGGCTTCTTCGTGGCTAACGTGGGGCAGGGGAAGGGGGGAAGCTGAGCACAACTTCCAGCCCCGTTGCTGCATCGCTCCCAGATTGCTTTAATTCGGGGGGAGGCTCCTCAGCGAAGCTGCCGATTAAACAATCGCAAGGGCTCTTGGCGTAGTTTACGTGGAAATGGCCGAGCCGGATGAGTAACGCGCACCTCGGGCTCGTGACCACCCGGTGGAAAAACTCCAAAACTCCGCTGGACGTGACCTCCAGCAGGAGGAGGTGGCTCTGAGGGTTTCACGAGGTTGCCGCTGCTGCCGGCACCCCCCGCGGGCACTGCCACCTCCCCGCTCCTTTCACACGGGCTCGGAGAGGGTTTGTGTCCTTCTAGTAACTTAAGAGCTCAGGGCTTGGCAGGCTCCCTTCCCTGCCCCCCGCAGGCTTTTGGCACGTTTATGAAGTCCTGAGGCTCGGCAGCTGCGGTTCCGTCAGCAGCAAGCCCCAGAAATCAGGAGAGGGCCGAGGGCAGGGAGGTGTTTTGGCCGCTCAGGTCACCATTTGGCCACAGGGGCAGGGCAGTGCCTTCGTGGTGTGACCAGCACGGCAGCAACCGGGGCTAGCACCTAACCCAACCCGCTAAATCTTAGGTCCAGGCAGAGCTTCTGCCCCTCAGCTCCGTTTTAGGCTTGGGAAACCGCTCGGTGCTTGCTGCCAGCCATCCCATGGGAGCTGCTGCGCGTCCTTGTGCCGGACAGGCTCGGGAGCTCCCCGATTTCAGCAGGATTTAATCTCCTCCTTCCCCCCGTTCTTGCCGCACCGTGCCAGCCCGGGGCCCAGCAATGCAGGGCGGGTTACCAAACACTGACACCGCTGTTGCCTCTCGGATCATTTTTGCATCAAAACCAGTTTTTGGAAAGCTTCTAGAGAAGCTCCAGGGCCAGGGGGAGGCCAAAGCCACCCCCAGGAGCAGACACCAGCAGCCCAGCCCGTGCCAAAGCGCCACCGAGCTGCCTTCTCCTTCCTCGTCTTCTCCGGACCATCGTACGACCCACGCAGTTTTACTCTAACAAGCGTATAAAAACCTTGAAATCCTGACTAACAGGTCTGAGTACAGTATTCCCAATTTTAATTTAAGCTCGTTCGATCTGAACAAACCACAAACCTTCACCAGCACCGACCCCGGGCGGGGGGGAGCCGACCGCGCACTCTCCACCTCAGCCTTCAGCAGGATGATTTAAAGCCAACAGGGTTGTTGGGCGAAAAGTGCATTGATTTGAAAGTTCTTCTCACCTGCACAGAAGAGTTCTTCTTGTATAGTAGATTTTCTATATATTGTTTCTGTATGTACTGTACAAGTAACTTATTCTTGAATAATGCAAATTTACCATAATATAAAAAAAAAAAAATCTGCTCCTAATAAACTGTTTTTAGAACTCGTTTCTCACTTTTGGTATTTCGTCTGATTCCCTGTAGGATCCCGGGTACTATTTTAATAGGTGGGGGGTTAACAGCTACTAAAAGCCAGAAACCTCCCATAGAAAGGAGCAAGCCCTTCCCTCGCAGAAGACTCACTCAAGGAGTCTTGCTCCAAGTCACCGCCACTGCTTGTGATGTTCTTGTGCCCCCTGCTGCCCACCTGCGTTTACTCGCATGGATTCTCTCCATTTTACTGCACCGTTCATTTTAAGGGACTAGGACAGAAGCTTACTTAGTGGTTGTCTCCCCCCGGGTGTTTTGTGCCAAGCCGCGGTGCGATGTGTTACCTGCCGTCCACGTAGGCTCACGCACACACCACTTTCCTTGACCTGCCTCTGAAACGCAGCGATGTTATAATCCATTTAATCAGCAGCATCTGGCGGTGGTTAGCCATTTTAGGACGTGTGCACCCTACAAGAGTCGGGAAGACCACAGCGTTTCCCAAGCCGTGATGGTTACCCTGCCTGGTGCCGAAGGATGTGGTAGTCAGCTGCTTTCTCCTATCACTCTCCCCATCTTTTTACACCATTTTGTTAAGTGATGCTTACCCCGATTTCTTCCTTTGGCTCCGAGCAGCACCAGTGGCTTACACAGCTTTATTTTAAACATCAAGGCCCAGCCAGGACATCTTCTGTACACCAACCACAACAGTGTAAAGTGTAAAGCCATTAGGGAATGGGTCCGAATGCAAGAAATTCTTTAAAACCTGTATCCAAGTCTGCTCCTGAAGCCTTCATTTTATTAGTAAGAGCCCTACGAGTCTACCACGACTGACTTGGTTTCATAGCGGGAGGTGTGAGGGGGGCACACACACAACACAGCAGCAGCACACGACAGAAACACATGGCGAAGCTTACCTGATGCTAAATAAAAACAGCTTGTGATCCAAAGGGGAACGAATGGAGAAAACATTAAAGAGAGAGACTGGTAAAACAAGACACAAACGATAAGTAGGTCAGTTTTTAAAACTTTTTTTATTTTTTAATTTTTTTTTTAAGTTTTTATTTTATATTATCTACAAAGTAAAAGTTTTCTTAACTTAAAAGTTACATCACTGTCTCACGATAGTGATTATCTCATCAAACGTGATTTATAAATAATAATTCATCAGTTTGACGATTAGAATTTTTTTTTTTTACTGAACCTGTTTCAAGTTTAGTTAGAAGTAAAAGGGATCTCCAAGTCTTGATTTTTAGTGATAATAGCAGCAAGAATCACTCTTGTTACTTCTTTTGCTAGCTGATGAGTTCATAACTTTGAAGGGTCATTAAAAAATAAATAACTTCCAGTTTTCAGCAAGCAGAGTTGGGGCACTTGCAGGACTCAGATACAGTGCATGGAATTATGGAATAGCCCACAAGTTCCTAAATGCCTCTACTCAGTCCAAATCTCTCCCACTGCAAGATGAACTGTTAGCATTCCTAGTGGATGTTACAAGAAATCAATTTTTTTTTTTTTTTTAAACAAAATAAAATGAAATTCTAGTTTTCTGTGCTTCCAGTTGGCAGAAGCAGTAGAAGGAGGGTATTTGGCCTACAAAAGGTATCCAGCCTTTCAGTTATTCCAGATGAGCCTTACAACTGCTGTTGGTGGTGGGCTTGTACTGTAAAAAAAAAGTTCAAATGTAAATAATAAATTGGCAAGCCACACAACAGTTTGCTAGTAAAGTGGTCACAGGACAACTACTGAGCTGAACTTTTTTTTTTATTATTTTTTATTTTTATTTTTTTAAGAACAAAACAATACTCTGCATATCAAGATGTCCTTTGGATATTTTTTTTTTTTCCTACCTAAACCCTCAGAAAGCATC